AGCTGACTTTTATGCTCCCTATTAAGAGTTTACTGGTCTAGCTCCTAAAGCGACATGTATCCAATGAATTTTGGGTATCAATGTAGTGTCATGCTTACAGCCTGTGCTCTGATCTTGGCCAGCCAGTTTGCAAATGTGTGCTGAGTAAGATGGTGGATGATCTGATGGAAATCCAGCTCCAGTGCTAGAAAAACCACATAGCACTGTCCTGCAGTGGGCCAGGGGAGCCATCTTCACATACAAGAATGGTATAATAGTTTTTATTTCCTCTTAGAACCTATTTGATGAGGTTAATCTATCAGCAGATTAATTACATTAGAAAAAATACATCAAACCTACTCATCATAGGGAGGCAGACTGGTGCCAGGATAAAGCAAACTGGAGCAGGAGGTCAAAAGAATTCCTGGTTCTAGTGCTGACTTTGTCTTTAACATGGTCAAATCACTTTAACTTTTCTGGGTCTAAGTAAGTCTAGATGACTTCCTTGATTTCCAGAGCCTTTTTCAGCTCCAAAATTTTGATTCTGGAGAAAGATTTGTGTTTTGAACATAATATTTTGAAATGGGGACAAGAGATGAAATGTGGAGCTGAAATCAGGGCAAACTCATCTCTAATCCACTTAATAGCTTCTTTACAATTAATATTCATTGCAGGTCAGAATCTAATTATTCAGCAAAAAGCAGCATGAGATCACCTTCTAACATCTCTCCAGCTCCTTTGGGGTAGGTGAAAAGGGCTTTCCGTGGTGGGGCAAGGTCTGAGACACTGAAACCAGATCCAGTGACAGAACTTCCACTGACCCCACCAGCTGAGGAGGATGATGAAGAGGCAGCCATTTCTTCTCTAGCAGAATTCTCACTTCACTATAGAGAAAAAAAAACAGCAATTGGCAAGTTTATGGAAGTGAGATTGACAACATTTCATTCTAGCTGCCATAAAAGCCAGCACACAGTTTAGTAAAGAATTAGCTCCCCCTTTTTCTACCCTCTCTGTTCCCACAATCTTTTACTGGTGCCTCAGACAAAAATGTTTCTCAGGATTTTAAGTGAAAATATGTTTATTCTGTTTTTCTACTTAAAACACTACTTCCTATCATTAGCAAACTGTTTATATTGCTTGGGATCGGCTGTGGGTGATTTATGGGTTATGAAGGGGTGATACGGCAGTGCCAAGTTAGCAATTTGACTGAGGAAATAAATTATATGAGGATAAAACAACATGCCTCATAGGGCAGTTTGTCTTGGCTATATCCTGACAAAGCCACACCAAAAAATTCACTTATAAAATTTTCCAAATAAAATTCCAGAATAACACTGTGTTCTGTTCCCAAGGAAAGGGAATTGGTTAGGAAATACATATTTGTCCTTTCATTAAAAATGTTTTAAAAACTTTTTCATCCAAATGTAATACCCAAATTGATCACTTGGTGGCATCTCCAAACCAGAAGAAAATGGCTCATGAAATGATCTTCGAATTCATGGTTTATTACGAATATAGCAGCTGTGTTTAGCCCTATGTCATATCAAAAAATCTAAAAGCCCAAATGCAAATGAGAAGATCTGTACTGAATACACGATTCCTTACAGAAGTTCAAAACAAAAATACTACCTTTGCCACTGAAGCTTATATTACACACTTACATAATATTCTAAGATGTTTATGTTTTCTAAAAAGAATGGTCTAGCACTGTGCTAACAGAACTTTCTGCCATGATGGGAATGTTCTAACATTCTATTTCTGTGCTGTCCAATATGGTAGCCATTAACCTCATGTGGCTATTAGTGTGACTGAAGAACTGTGTTTTAATTAAAAAGAATTTTTTTTAAAGTAATCTCTACATCTATGGGGGCTTGAACTCACAACCCCGAGATCAGGAGTCGCATGCTCCACCAACTGAACCAGCCGGGTGCCCTTGAAGAACTGTATTTTAAATTTTATTTAATATTAACTGAAACTGAAATAGCCACATATGACTAGTGGTTACTGTACTGGATAGTACAACTCTAATATTTAGACTAAAAAATGACTTTATACTGAATTGTATGCTTTAAGATGGCTAATAGTTAATTTTATGTTATGTGAATTTTAGCTCAATTAAAAAAAAAAAAGAGGGACACCTGGGTGGCTCAGTCGGTTAAGTGGCTGCCTTCGGCCCAAGTCATGATCCCAGGGTCCTGGGATCGAGTCCCACATCGGGCTCCTTGCTCAGCAGGGAGCCTGCTTCTCCCTCTCTCTCCCTCTGCTTGTGCTCTCTCTGTCAAATAAATAAAATCTTTAAAAAAAAAAAAAAAAAGAAATGACTTTAAAAGGATTTAAAAAATGAATTTCCCTCTTTAATGGCCACCGAGAATTTTAGCTGATTTTTTTCTTCTTTTGCTAGTTGCAAAATAAAGACATGTTACAAAAGTTGGAACTTATTTTTGAAAAAATAGAAAAAATGAGGGGATGCTATGCAGATACAAATCCTATATATACATAATCCAGTTTCCTAGCAAGAAAAATGATATACTGTGCATTTCTGAAATGCCGGCTGTTCTGTTTCCTTAATTTTGTGATGATGATTTAAGCCTGTCGGGGAAGCAGAGTTTAGTTTCCCATTTCATTATATGTCCATAAGTAATATGATTAAAACTGAAGTGGGATATGGGAACAATAAGGCAACCGCTATAATTAGAATTTCAGTCTATTTAAAAATAGAAATTGATTAAGCACACTGTCAATCTTGCTATTAGATCACCTCTTCTTTTTTCTCTGAGCTCTATAACTTCCAAATTGTATTCATATTCATAGAAACAACTTTTCAAGGCAGGTTTATAGCCAATCCTCTGGGCAACACTAGCTTAAAATATACCTTGACAGGTTCCTAAATGCTCTTTTAAACAGAACTTAAGCAGTAATGGACCTGGTCTAAATTTCTAAGTGGATTCTTGTTGGGATTCAAACAAAGTATACAGATGATTTAGCCATCTTTTGGACAGGTACTCAGTCTTAATTCCCATCAGTTCAGAGCGGAACATACTGTGAACTGTTTATATATCTCACCTAAGACTTAAAACTCTAATCTTTTTCCTACACCTTGATAAATGCTCTATTCAGTTGCAAATGCAAGGCATACTTTATATTTTGAAATCAGTTGCTCAGCAGAGCTCCCTAGGGACTGCCAGAGTGAGGACAGCTTCAAAGGCTAGACACAGTGTGACTTCTAAACTGGGTATAATCAAAGGAATTCCCTTTCATCCCATTTTCTTTCAAACTCAGAACTACTATCATTCAATACACAAAACAGCCAGGGTTGGAAACTGGAGTGCATAATTAGCACAAAGCTACTTTTACATAAATAAGCAGTTTACTGCTGAGGTAGAATAATACACCTCAGTAATTTCTAGCTTTAAAGATTTAGGTTGAATTTTGCATGCTATCAGCAGATGGTAACAGGAGGTAAAGTGAAACTAACAATAAACCCTGCTTTGTAACTGCTTTATGAAGGCAGGCATTCTGATCATGAGAACCAAACATAATGCTTGGCCTATACTAAATAGCTGTTGATTTAAATAAATGTTTGCTAAATGAATTAAACATTTCACAGGAACCACAAAATTCCTTAAAGGACATCTAATCCAATCCCTCATGTTATAGATGACCAAACAAAACTGAGATATAGAAACGTTAGCATACATGCTGTCACATTCTTCAAGCAATGGTTTTGTGGGCATATCATGTGCCATGTGAGAGGTAAAACAGCATAGTGGTTAGAGTTCAGATTCTGAAGTTTCTTGGTCTGGGTTCATGTCCTAGTCTTGCTATTTAGCTTGCTGTATGACTCTGGACAAATCACTTAACCTCTCTGTTCCTCTGTTGCCTCATCTCTAAAATGGGGATAATAACAGTATCTCCCTCATAAAGGTATCACAAAGGTTAATATAACTAAAGCATTTAGAATAGTTACAGGCACAGTAAACAATAATATCAGCTATCCAAAATTAGTAATGGATATTTACTCCTCAATCTTTTTTTCCCCTACGCAGATCCCAGTTTTTCATCCATAGTATGTCCCAACACACTCAGGGGAAAAGTTTTAATTCTCTCCATTTGACAGAACCAGCAAGCTCCTAAAGGGAAAAGGATCTGCTCAGGAAGAGGGAAGATGCCTTCCATTAATGCACTTGTCACTTTCATTTTCAGGTTCACGAGTTTAGGAAGAATTCTTTGATCTAGGAAAGGGGGAACAAGTTGTCTTTCTACCCTTGAGGCCTAGCACAGAACCTGGATTAGAACGTTTTCTGAATGAATGCAGAACAAATGATACAACACAGGGCTAGTGGCTCAGCAAAGGTTATATGCGTGGGACAGAGAAGCGGGGTGTCATGAGGATTGGTCCATTATTGGTTTTTTTTTTCCTTCCTCATTCTGCAGATTTACAGTAGTAACACAACTCTCTCACACACTAGGCTGCCGGGCTCAGTTAAATTCTGCTTAATGAATGCATATTCATGGTGTAGTAGTCTGGGGTTTGGGCCTCTAAGGGAAGCCGAGTCTATTGGCAGTTGAGATCCCCATAGGAAAGCAATGCTACTTTGGGGGACACAGCATGGCTGTCTCCACAGTGACAGGATGAATAAACATTTCCTTCATGTACGACAGGGATGACCTTGTATTCAAAAACACTACTTCTTATCGGATATATTCCTATTTTCTTAAAAAGACTCCTTCCTTTAGAAGTCTCCTTATGAAAAAGACGCTGAAGGAAGTACCCTGGTGTAATGGCAATTACAAGCAATCATTTAATTCCATCATCAACAAATCGTTGCAGTTAAACAGGTGGACTACCACCCAAACGGAAGCGGCACCTAAAACCAGGTGGGGTGGCTAGAAAGGGGCTGGAAAGGGAAGGGGCAGAACGCCAGAGGTTTCCAAACTAACTCCAAGGCACGCTTCCTCCCCTTTCCCCGCTTGGACCCAAGGGGGCGACGCTTGGCGTCACCGTACTGCGCAGGCGCCAGCCCTCGGCCCGCATGCGCACCCAGTTCTGAGCGGCCTGAGGAAATTTCCTCTTACACTCCCTCGGCAGCAGGCTCCAGTTTCTCCTCCTATCTTCTCCATTTTACTAGTCCCTGCAGGTAGGTTTCCAGGGATCAACTCCCTTCCACTAAGCTCCCGGGGGTCCCTGAGCCCTCGGCCACTTACCTCAGCGGATTTGGCACGTTCCCCCACGGCCCCGCCCCCAGGGCCAGCCAGAACGGCCGCGTTTACAACGACGATGACGGCGGCGTGCGCATGCCCGCGCGGAGGGAACCTGCGCCGGCGGCGGCGTGCGGGCGCCCGTGCGCTGGTGGGCGTGGCCAGGGCGGAGAGGGGCGGAAGACGCGCTCAGAGAGAGGACTTCCGGGTCCTGCGCTCACCTGGCCTTACCGCGGTTTGCTTTCCGCCCCGGAGTTCTCTCTTAACTCGACTTGGTGTGCTCGCTTTTTTGCTTGCTTTTATGATTCAGGGCTTCACCTTCCCCACGACATTGCAGGCTTTCTGCTCTCCTCTCTCCCCAGACTACCACGAAGCGGGTTTAAATTGGTTATTCCCCCTTCTTTCAGACAGCCTCATAGCCCGGTGTCGTATGGGAAATTCGGCAGGTGAAGTTCGCTGTCTCTGAGGGTCCGACCTAAACATTAAAGTCTACTTTTGTGAAGGGCCTTTTTTTTTTTGTGAGGTCCTGGGGGAATAGGCCACTAGAGTGTAATGTCATTAAATTGTTGTTAATTATGCCCGGCATCATTCAAGTCTGTTACTTTCTATGTTGTCATTTCTCACAATGCAAAATCTCCTCTTGGTTCTGTAAGCAAATTGCAAATTAAAGTGACTTACTTGCTGAGGATTGGATTGGGCCTTAGTGTATTAATAAGGATTGGTCAGGTTTTTGGGAGGAACTCTTAATTTTGGGCTTCCAAGACTATGTAACCTATGTAGTAAGAAGATTGGTTGAACTTAACCACAGTTAGCCCATGAGGAATCTTTGTTTCCTTAATTCTCGATTCATTAAGTTGTGACTAGAAGCTTGGCTTCTCAGTGAATGAAGTACACTTTTTTTTTTTTTTTTTTAGATTTTATTCATTTATTTGAGAGAGAGAGAGCACAAGCAGGGGGAGCAGCAGGAGAGGGAGAAGCAGGCTCCCCGCTGAGCAAGGAGCCGGATGCCAGACTCCATCCCAGGACTCTGGGATCATGACTTGAGCCACCCAGGCATCCCATGATGTACATTTTTGAGTAGTAGCCTATAGAAATGGATTCCTCCTCTCAGCAATGTGTTGGTTTGAAGAACCAATTGGTTACGTCATATTTTAACTGTTTTGATGGGCAGCTGGATCTAATTTTGAGGTATATATTTCTAGCACCTCTAAAAGTACTTAGGGGTTATTTCCCCCCTCCCCCTCCCAAGGATAAGTGTGCTAAACATTCCTAATCCTCTGAATTATCATGCTGGATAAAAAGGGTGAGACCCTTAGCAAATGGTTAGATAAACACAGAAGGTTTAACCTCGAGGTTAAAATAATAAAGAGACATCTATGCTTTCAAGTCATGGACAGGCTGTATAGAGAGGGCTGAGTATCTTTTAATCACCTTTTCTTAGAGTGCTGAAATAGTTACAAATTACTGTCTAGGGGCACCTGGCTGGCTCAGTCAGTGGAGCAGGCAACTCTTCATCTCGGGGTTGTGAGTTCGAACCTGATGTTGGTTGTAGAGATTACTTAAAAACAAAACCTTTGTGGGGCGCCTGGGTGGCTCAGTCATTGGGCGTCTGCCATCGGCTCAGGTCCTGATCCCAGGGTCCTGGGATCGAGCCCCACATTGGGCTCTCTGCTCCGCAGGAAGCCTGCTTCTCCCTCTCCCACTCCCCCTGCTTGTGTTCCCTCTCTCGCTGTGTCTCTCTCTATCAAATAAATAAATAAAATCTTTAAAAAAATAAAATAAAATCTTTGAAAACAAAAACAAATTACTGTCTAGAGTGAGCCAGGAGTGGAGTGCTGTTGTGGAAAATACAGCAATTGACTTAAAACAGCTTGCAGATAGGGAAATCCAATGGAAACAGTGCTGCTTTTGTTTAGGATGTGCTGTGACCTGATGTCCCAATTACATAATGATCCATAAAATAGAGATACGGTTTTCATTTCTAATTAAAACAAGGTAAGGTGATCATTTATTTTTCAGGATTTCACTAGAATATTGTTTGGAGAAGGTATGGAAGTTCTGCGCCCACAGCTTGTAAGAATTGGTGGACGGATTTACAGAAAAAATCCCGTCCAAGAACAGACTTATCAACATGAAGAAGAAGATGAAGACTTCTGTCAAGGTAATCCTAGTTGCTCTTTGGTCAGATACCAGTACAATGTTCTCTCGCATTATGGAAGCATTGCTTTGTTTTGTTTCATAGTGTTTCTGTGTGAGCACTGAAATTTGAGATGTTTGGCCTCTATCTAGCTCCATTTGTGTTGACGTCTAAGGGGACTGGTGATTTTCAGTTTGATGAGGCATTCTCATTTGCACTTCCTAAATCATGTTTCATCTCTGTGTAGAGGCTTAAATGTAACAAGGGGTAATTTTAGTAAACAATGTTAACCATGAATATTCTGTGACAAAATTAAATTCCTTTGTCTGTAAAGTTGTGAAATAATATATATAAATTGTTGAAATAAATGAAATATGTATTTTGTTCAGTGCCCCAAAATATTAACCATTAATACTGTTAATGTTGTTATTTGTCTCTTCTTTGCACTCATATAGGCAGTTCCAAATATACAACTGACATAACTTTATTATTACATAGGGATAATTTTAAGAAGTAAGCTAAACAGTGGGGATGGATTATGAATATTTTCAAGCCAATTAACTTGGGCTTGGGTTTAAGGCATAAATAGGGCCTTTCAGGTTCTCTGCTTCCTTTTCCTTTTGGTTTATAAGTTCTTCCATCATGCCCTAAGCCTTGGGTTTTGTCTTCCTTCTGGTTTTCCCCATTGTTTCCCTTCAGCCTTGGGGACTTGACCTTCTTTACTTGACCCTCCTGTCTCTTCGCCTGGTGGAATGGAGTAAGTTCTCCCGCTACCATTCCTGTCTCATTCACTGAAGTAATTTTGTGTCTTAATACTAAAAACTGCTTACTTGCACACTGTAAGAGGATGTTATGTGAATTACATTTTTATAAAAAAATAGAAAAAAATTTTTATTGTGTCTTAGCATTTTGGGAGAAAACAGTTAAATAGTGGTATGTATATACTATCTTTCCAAGGTTCTTTTTTTTTATTTTTAAAATTTTATTTATTTATTTGACAGAGACACAGCGAGAGAGGGAACACAAGCAGGGGGAGTGGGAGAGGGAGAAGCAGGCTTCCGGCTGAGCAGGGAGCCTGATGCGGGGCTCGAACCCAGGACCCTGGGATCATGACCTGAGCTGAAGGCAGACACCTAATGACTGAGCCACCCAGGCACCCCTAGTCATGTGTTTTTAATTTTCTTCTAAGAACAGGTTGGAAGGACTGTCAGAGCAGTGTTCTGCAATATAAAGTGTTGGGCTATAAGACTGTTGTCCACAGAGCAGCAGCTGTGAGGAGGTGTTATGGTTTCTCTGCAGGCTTTGTGGAGTGTGCAGAGGAGCCCTGTGATGCCTACGAGGTGGTGCAGACCCAGCAAGGTTTCCGGTGTACCGTGAAGGCCCCCAGTTTGCTCTACAAGTGAGTGAGGCCCCCCCACCCCCCAGCTTCATGGGACACACTTCCAGGAAACTCAGCAGGAAGCTGACTCTTTTCCATACTTACTGCAGTGCTTAATTACTAATGACAAAACAATTTAGTGTTTTATGTCCTAGAAGTTCTAAGGACTGATTATGGATCAATTTCACCATTCCAGATGTATCACCATGTCCTGTTGATTTTGCCTCTTAAATATCTTTTGAATCTACCATTGGTCTTATTCTTTGCTGAAAGACCAGCACCCTGCTGCATCTTCTGTGGATTACTTCATATAGCCTCCTTACTAGGCTGTCCACATTGATTATTGTTCTCCTCCCAATCAGTTCTTCACATTGAGGGTAGGATGATCTTTCTAAAAGGCAAATGTGATTACTACCTCTGCTTAAATCTGTGAACATCCTTCCATTGAAGATGGAATTCTGTTCCATTGGAATGATGGAATCTTGAATGTGACTTAGGCAGCCCTGTATTTTTCAGTCATAACTCATACCACTCTTTTTCTGGTTTTGCACTTAAGCCTAGCTAGTTTTCTTCAGTTCCTGAAGTGTGCTTTGTTCCTTCCTGCCATAGAGCTTTGGCATATGCTGTTTCCTTTGCCTTATAATCTCTCTTCCTTACCTAGTTATATTCTTCTTCCTTAGAGAGCCTTGCTTTGACATCATCATCCCTTTCAACCACACTGACTACCATATGTTTTCATAACATCCTGTACCTTTCCTTTGTAGAATTTTTCAGCCATGTATTTACACTTATTTGCGTACTATTGGATGTTTTCTTCACAAGATGGGAGACTTCTGGAAGGCAGGAATGTGTTCCATTAATCTCCAATGTTTGTCAAAGACTGGTATGCTTTCTCCAAGGTTGTCATTATGAATTTGCTTGGAAACTTTTTGCTCACTTCAGTCGGTGCTTGCTTGCTTGCTTGCTTGCCCACATTCTGTCTCACCACTAACATGGTTAGCTTATCGTCTGCCTTCGGCTCAGGTCATGATCTCCAGGTCCCGGGGTCAGGCCCCAAGTCTTCCTCTCCCTCTGCCTCTCCCCCTGATCATGCTCTCTTTCTGTATCTCTCTGTCTCAAATGAATAATAAAATCTTTAAAAAAAACCAAACATAGCTTATGTGGCTAACTGGCTTCTTTTAGGTTTACACCTCTGGAGATAGGCTGGTCTAGGAATTGTGTAAATTGTTTTTCTGTGTTGTACAAGGTTAATTAAGTGTTCAAGCTCCTCTGTGAAAGGAGATCTGCAAATATGAAATCATATACCTTTAAGCTCCACAAAGCAAATCATTTTATTTTCACCAATCTTGAAAATATTCTGAAACACCTATTAAGGATGAAATTCTTCTCTTGGAATGTGGCCAGATGGGAAACCAAATGCTAAATCTGACAGCTCATTTTCCTTTAAGGTTCCAGTGACATTTTCTTCCAAGAAACAAGATTTTAGAAAGTCATGGTTCCATTTCCTGATGAAATCTGTGTAACCATTTTCCTTAATGTGTATATTTGCCACCACTAAGGTGTGTAAAAATTCCTTAGATGTCTGATTCCAACTTGATGATCTTCTGAATTCTATATATTTTAAGTATTCATTGTATTCTAGATGACTTGCACGTTAGATTAGGTATTGGTTCTGTTCAATTGTAATTAATAGACAGTATTTACTAGGAAGATTTCTTTTTTTTTTTTTTTAAAGATTTTATTTATTTATTTGACAGAGAGACAGCGAGAGAGGGAACACAAGCAGGGGGAGTGGGAGAGGGAGAAGCAGGCTTCCTGCAGAGCAGGGAGCCGGATGTGGGGCTCGATCCCAGGACCCTGGGATCATGACCTGAGCCGAAGGCAGACGCTTAACGACTGAGCCCCCCAGGTGCCCCAGGAAGATTTCTTTCTTATTAATCATTTCCGTAGGTTCATTTGGATCAAGGAAGAAATTACTTGACCAAACTAATTTATGATAAAATCCTAATGGTTGTAACACCTGTCCATGGACTAGATGTAATATATTAGTTCTCGACATCAGGTGCACATTAGAATCACCTGGGGAGCTTTTAAAACTCCCTATACTTGGGTGCACCCCAGACCAATTAAATCAGAATCTCTGGGAGCTGGACTGAGGCATCATTAGTTTTTGAAGCCCCCCAGGTGATTCAAGTGGGTAGCCAAGATTGAGAACTACTCGATCTGGTAGGAATTTCTACTTATATGTTTAATAAAGGAGTCACCTTTTCACGGTGTGTCTCATTATTGTAGTGAATGTTTTAGACTCCCCATGTAAACCTCTTTTGAATCTGGCTATGCTCTAAATTGGAAGGATGCCATTATGGGCTTAATGAGGATGGTATGGACCGTACTGAGCTACGTGCCAGTCACAGGAAAGCCCTTTTATATATGATCACGTTTAATCCTCACAAGTTTATTATACTTAGGTATTATTCACTCCATTTTTGAAAGTGAAGAAATAGGTTTAGAGTGGTTAGATGACTTGCCCAAGACTTGAGTCTAAAACTTCTTTAACTTCAACCACTTCCTTTTTAAAATGCTTAGACTGGGGGCGCCTGGGTGGG